CTTGTTTCTGGATACTGAGTCTTTCACTGATATCAGTTTCAGTGATAACCTCCAAAAGATTGATCACATTAATCCTCCTTTCACTACAGCGAGGTATGATCAATTCCAGGATGAAGATATCCATAAAGAGCTGTTAGCCGAAACCACCACCATCAGTTTTTGGGTGAAATTTGGCAAAGCTGCTCATGTACGGCGGAACTGTACAAATCCCGCCTCCCCACAACCAATGAGTCTTTCTGATAAAGACGACTTTACCCTCGAAGATTTCGAAGAACTCCTAATGGCGTAATCCCTCACGTCATTAGCCATACAAAGACTAGTTTGCCCTTGAAGGTTTCGAGGAGCTTCTCATGACGTAAGCCCTTACGTCATAAACGACTGTATCAAAAGATGACAAAGGTTAATGGCAGATAATGATATCTTGCTACCTTGTCACGATTCCTCTTCCGTTACATGTTGTTAGGCCCATTAAGCCTTGCATGTTAATGACGGTAAGATTGAATCAGTCTTTTGATAAAATGTAAAAAAAAAAAAAAAAAAATGAATGTCACTATTTTTGTCTTTTAGTGACTTTTACTATTTTTGTTTTTTAGTAAGGAAGTTTCCTCCATAGGATTACTTCTTTGCTAAGTTTTGAGACCCATTAGTCAAAAAGTGGGTCCCACATGTAAATTACTATTCATTAGTTTAATATTTTTCATTTTCTATATAATGCTTCATAAGTCCCTTATGCTGGGCAAGAGGCATCTTAGGCATTCTCCATCCTCTCTCCTCTCTTCCTTCTCTCTACTTCTTATGTAAATTTCTTACTATCAATAAGAGAAGTTATTCAGCATCTCCCCTCTCCTTCTCCTTCTCTTCCCCCCAAGTAAGTTTTCTCTGCTCCCCCTTATGGAGTAGTTTTCTTATAAGGGCGTTCTCGGATGCCTTAAGCTTTATTTATTTAAAGATGCGATAATCATTTAAAGGCTTAAATAATTTTTTGTACAGCTTTGTAGTGGCGGAATCGTGGTGGGACCGAGGGTTTAAGTATCGTGGTGTGAACCCTTACTAACAACTATAGTTATTGGCTAAGTGGCTAATGATGCGCGCTCATCCTATTTCAATTTGATATTAAAAAAATATAAAGAAAGATTAATTTGATTAAACTCTTTTAATTTAAATAAAAAATATTTTTTTTTATTTTCTAATGGATAAAGTCATTTTTTTTATTTCATTAAGCTAATATTAACCCATCTTTCTTATTATTTATTTCTTATCTTAACAAACATTCATAAAAAAATAATCATTTTTTTTCTTTTTTTCCTTATTTATATATTTTTACTTTTTTTTTTGTTTTCTTTTCCTCATACATACAATGTGTCATCACACCGGCCTTCCCTTTCAACCATTCAAATGATATAACCTCATACTCTCGTAATTAAAAACTTAAAAGCTTACTAGAAAGATTATAGTTACTTTCTTGCAAATTATATCAAATATAGGCATAGTAGCACAACTCTTGAGGCACGTTCATGGATTTGAGATCTTCAACCATTTCAAAACCCTATAAATAGTTTGAGGAAGAAGGTATTATGAAATAAGGAGGAAGACATAATAGAGATCAAGAAAATCAAGTTAAGACTGCAACTTGGTAAATATCCTAATTAATTTGTAGTCCTAATTTTAGAAATTTACGCATAGTTTATTTTATTTTATGTATAAGAGGTAAGAAAGTAACAAGAAATGTAATCAATATATCTGTATTCAACTTGCAATCTCATATAGTGAGAAACTTTATCTTTTGCGTATATAAATTAAATAAATACAAACATTTTAATATTTGTCTCACTAACCATAACCTATTTGACTTAAAACTATAACATGTATCTTGAGGATTCCACACACTATTGATAAAATCTCTAACATTATACGTGCTTTTGAATTTTTAAATCTCAAGTTGTCCTTAGCACCTTATCCTTTATTAATGTTTAACTCAACTTTCATTTTTCTTCATCGAACAATCTCCATTATAATGAAGGAATTGAACGAAAGTAAGATGATAAAGTCTTTTCTTATAAATATTTTGTTTTAGTATTTGCTAATATAACGTTCATCATTATTTTCAATCATAATGAAAAGAAAAAAATTGTTTTACCAATAACAAGTACAATCTTAATCTAATAATGAAAAGTAACACAATTGAAAAAAAAATTATTAGGTTGAAAGTTTTGTTCTTACATGTTGACACTTTAAATTTAATTCATCGATAAATCATATCAATATAAAGAATAAATTAATTAGATACAACATCTCGTGAACTAGAGAGATGCATACAAATATGTATCCCTAAAAAAATTTCTATAAAATAATAAGATTTTTCAAAAATCCTAAACTTAGATAAAATAAAAAATAAATAAAAATTTATCAATTCACAAATATTTGTCATTAAAAAATTACATAATTTTTCATTACATTCATAGGTATATAAGAGCAAGATTATTCTTTTTGAGAAAAAAATTATTTTTTAAATATATTAATAATCTTTATTAAAAAAATTATTTTTCAAATATATTAATAATCTTTATTTTAACTAATTTTTAAAATTAGTTATAAGTTAAATAAATATTTTAAAATAAAAACAATAAATTTAACTAATTATAGATAATCATATTCAAAATGTTATAAGGTTTTAACAATTTTTTTTTACAAATAATTGATTTTTAAATTCAAAATTTAATTACTTAACCAATTTTTTTCTTTTAAATGATTTTTTAATGTTTTTCTTAATAAATATTGGCTATTACTTAATTATTTACTTTTAATGATTTTTTGTGTCATCCTGTCATCATTATCTTGGTTGCCATAATACCTAAAAAAATTAATCAGTTCCCTAATCATTCTCGCTCTAATCACTCTCCCTCATCCTCAAATCACTCTTTACAGCAGAATTGTAAAGACTAAGAAAATAAAAATAAAGGGATTCGAAGAAAAAGAAAATGTTGTAGGTCGTAATAAAAGAAATGAAAACAAAGACAAAACATTTTGTTTTTGTCTTATAAACAATTTATTATGTTAATTCAAATTTCAACTAATAGAATAAATATATTTTACATCAGTATGAGAATTAAAAACAATTTCTTCATCTTACCTAAAAAAAATTAGAGTAACATTTTAATACATTTACTAAAAAAACTCTTTACTATAAAATCCATAGTAGATAAGAATAAAACCAATCAAAATAAATGAATAAAATAATAAATATATTCCTTCATCAATATATCGAAGTTTCTCCGTAATATTGTACTAGTTAATTGAAAAAATAATATATAAAAAATAAATAATATATAAACAATGTTATTAGAAAAAAATCCCAGATAATAGAGTAGGAGTATGAAACAAAGACCTATGAAAATTTAAGTTATATAAAAAATAATTAAGAAAAAAATGTATAATTAAATGGTAATAAAAAAAGCGAGAATTAAGAAAATCAAATAATTAAAATTTAATGTCTATATAAAGAGAAAAAGAATTGAGACAATTAAGATGAGATACGTGCAAAACTTTATTTATCTTAATAACTATTAAATACAACTAATTATTATTTAATATAATATGAATTAATTATTACATTTGCATATGTAATCACGTTCAAAATAGAAAGAGAAACTGCTTTTATTTATATTCATTAAGTTATAAGATGAAAATAATGAGATGTTGAAAAGTGGAAGACAAATTCAAATATTAAATTCATTTTAGGTATAAATCTAAAAAAAAATTATTATAAGTAAAATGTTGTTTGACACTTTTTAGATTTAAAATTTTATATTATTTTATTGCAATACAAGAACAAAATAAACGTTGAACATTTTTATTAATCCCCCTGTCTAGCTAAGTGAATTGAATTTCTTATAATCTATTATTTATAATCATACTGTCAGTATAAGTTTAGACTAATAACGAAGATGGTTAATTTTGTAAAAAGATGAAGTTAATAGGTTAAAAATGATAAAAAAAATACATTGTTTCAATTACTTAATATATTTTAAAAGAAATATATATAAAATAGAATAAAAATCTATTAATTATTTAATAATAATTATTATTATCTATACTATAGTTACGGATAAAATGGATTAATTCATCCTTATTTTGTTTAACTTTATTTGTGAAAAATAAGATTTAGCGGGCTTGTCCTTATAGTTAGATGGGTATAGATCTTAGCTTTCTCTACCAAAAGACCATGAGACACGATTGACAAATTTTTTTATATGTATTTTAAAAGAAATATTTTAATTATATAAATATATTTTAAGTTTTTATTCAATAATTAATATTTTTATTAAATGAATTGAGAAAATTATTATACATGTTAAAATATTCAATTATATTTAATAATTTAAATTTATTTTATTAATATTTATTATTTATATTATAATATATTTATATATTTTAATAACATAATAAAAAATGTAATATTTTTAATTATATTTTTTATTTTTATTTTAATATATAATTATTTTTTAAAATACCAGTTCACCCAATTTTAACTAACCAAGTTTACATACTAGACAAAAATATTAATAAATTAAAACTATAAAACCTATTCTTATTTGAACAAACACCATCAAACCCAAATCATTTTTACATTTTTATTTATAATTATATTATATATATATAAAAAGTTATTCAAAAAATATGATATAATAAAAAATATAAATCAAATTTAAATAAATTAAGAAATAATATTTTAAAATAAATAATAATTTAAAATATATAAATTTTAACATATGTGTTTTCACTAATATATATTATATAATTTTGTTGATTGTGTAATCAATTTTAAATAATATTAGAAACTTAAAAATAATTTAGAAAGATAAAATAAAATATTTAATACAAACTCTTTTTACTAAAACTTATCTACACGTGCTAGATTAATCGGTGCTTAAATTAAAAATTAATTTTTAAAAAACCGTGTACAACTAATATAGACTGACACGAGAAAAACGCGAGGACGGATGAGTGAGTTGAGTAGTAGCTTCAAGTAGTGAGAAACGGAACCAAAACGACGACGTCCCCGTCATCGCTATACTAACGCAAAGGCAAAGGGGGGAGTAACGTAGTTTCTGACAGCGTTAAGACGTGACAGCGTTAAGACTCGACAGCGTCTCTAGTAAGAAAGCAACCTCAAACAGAACCAGTGAGTGTGGGACACGTGTCCGGTCTCAACAGAGTCGAAACGCACAATTTGGATGACAACCCCGTCGGAACAAAATAAAATAAAAAATTAAGGAGAAATAAACTTTGGGATTCCGTCGAATAAAAACAGCGCACCTTCCATCCCTCCGTTTCGTGTCACTTTTTGGCGGTTTTAGCCTTTTTCGGTTTCGAACATTCGCACGAATTTCTCTCTCACTCTCACTCTCTCTCTTCAATTCAACATTTCGAGGTTCGATCTTCGACGTAGTTCTGGCTACTATTCTCTTTGCTTTCTGTTGTAGATTAGATCTTACTGTTTTATGTGTTGTTTTTAATTATTCTTATTTTAATTCAATTCTGCTCTCACTCTCTGTAATTGCCAAGGTTAGGGATCGGCTGGTTCGGGATTGCTTTGGTCGATGAGCGAGGTTGGGGTTTTCAATATGCATACTTCCTTTCTTCGTTTCTATTTTCCCGATGACTTCGCTAGCGTTGTCTTAAAGTAGATTTTACCGATAAAATCAGAACGAGATAATTATGGGCGAAAATAGTTGGATTGCGTTTTTTCCGTAGTGTACTATATATATATATATCTTTTAGTTATTTTTGTTGGCTTTTAATAATCGGAACCTTAATCTTCTTGCTCTTTATTTATTTAATTGAAAAAAGGCTTATAGATAGTGTGTGTGTTTTAATATGTGCTTTAACATAATGCTGTTAATTGACAGCTTCAAGGCGATGTGGATTGTCTTCATTATTATTAACCGTCTGTGCTAGGATTGTTTTTTAAATTGTTCCCTCGTCTTACCACCTTTAGGGATTTTTTTTGTCTTTATATTTTAATTAATATAATTGTTCACTGGTATTGATGTAATTTATTATGAACATAAATGACCGTCGTAATATTGTTCACTGTGGTTGAGTGTGATCGTGTGCTTTGAAGGTAAAGAAAGTTATAATTGGACTAGGAGGGAATATTTTGTGGTGGTGTGTGGTTCTGGTTTTCTGGCCGTGGTTTGATTCCTGTGAATTTAGCAATGCATGGGTTTTCAATGAGCTTTGTGTCAGTGGGAGTGTTTTTGTAGCCTCTGCCTTTTAGCTTCTCTTCAAGATGGACGATGGGGGGTTTGAGTTTTATGTTTGTTTATAGATTTATTTATTTTTCTCTCTTAGGAGACATATGGCTTCCCACTTGTTTTCTCTTCCCCCCTTTCTTGTGAAAAAAATTATTCTAAATTTTGACAATTATGTATTTGAAATCCATTGGTTTTTATTTGTGATATAATAATAATAGAAGAACAATGATGAAAACTTGGAATAATCTGAGATATGGAAGTTGTAAATTGACAATCAGGTCAGAGGACTTTCAGGGAATTATTATAGATGGAAAGAAATGAACTATGCATAGCCATTTGATAATATGCACTCTTGTTTTGAATAAATGAGTTCACAATATTGCCTATGGATTATATTTTCTGCATGAATGCATTGTATACAAATAGCATAAACAAATTATTGTGTCCAAGAGACATAAGTGATTTCTTTCTTTGAACTTACACATGCATCCAAACACTCATATTGGATTGATGAAGATGATTTTTCATTTATTTATTTATGTTTCCATAAATAGTTGCTCTGCTCACATACTGCTTGTACTTTCCATATCGAAGTCTTACAATATGGCATGGGAAAAACATAGGTGTATGACGATTGGTGCTTTAGGTGTTCTTTTTCTGATTAAAACGGAACTTTATCATCATGATAGCTTGTACCGAACTTTATCTTGCATGTTACTAAGGTAAAACTTCAATTTTGCTTGAAAAACAATACTAAAAGCACCTATGTTAATGTACCTAAATTTGGTCTTTCGATATATGTATATATATTTGATAAGTGATGATCTTGCATTTGTGGCAATGTACATTTATAGAGACTTTGGCGTTTTGGGGTGCTTAAATATTACACTGAGTAGTATGGGATGGTTGGTAATATATTTAATTGTTTGGTTCTCCCTCTTTAATGGTGGTTTTCTCAACTACTTGGGTGTCTATCACATAAGTCACACATACACACACGTGTGTGTGTGTGTGTGTGTGTGTGTGTGATATTAATGAGAATAAAATGATTAAACTTATGTATGTTGAAATTTTTTGTTGCTATTCAGCTGAGCATGACATGGATCATGATGAATATTTGCGGAAGTGTTCCAATATGAAATGCCAAAGGGTATGGATTTTGGTCATGTTGTCTTGCCTTCAAGCACAAATATTTTAGTTTTATTCTATCATGTTATTTCTCAATTTGCATTCTTCTCTATTTTTCAACATCTAAGAATGTATCTATTTATTATATTTGATTATCAGATATTTGTTGCACCTAATTAAATATGTCAGACAATGATTGTAATTATTCTAATTATATTTCATGGTTGGAAATACTTTTGCACCCCATTCCTTGTGTTCATTTACGTAGTATTCCAACTTTGGTATGTTCCGTATGAATTATTCAATTCATTTTTGTAGAATATAATATGATTGTTAGCCAAGATATTATGATAATTGCTATGCTGTATGAGAATTTCATTCAATTTTTTTGAACTGAATGCTAGAAAACATGCCCCATAAAGGCATGTTGAGAAATGTCCAATATCTTGATATGTAGAGATTTTTATATAGCATAAAAGGTTTCCACTACATTGAAGGATACAAGTTGTAAAATGCTACAAATGTTGTTTGAATAGAGCAGGAACTTGGAAGTAAATCATCATCTTAATAAATTTGTTCCAGCAGAATATTGAGTGTTTGTTTGAACATGATATGCTTGTCTTGTTTTAGTAAATAAACGGTAGAGAACTTGTCCTTAATAGTCTTCTTTTATTTAATATAATAAGATATTCACAATATGCTTCACCTTTTACATCACTTGGAATGAGAATATGAGGGTGCTTAAGAGATGATTCTTACATCTGAGATACAAAGGGAAGTTATAAAAAGACTACACCTAGGACTCTAGGTGATAGATAGTTACAACAAAAAGAACCTTTTAGCTTTCCCCAAGTTGGTCAATAATAAATTAAACTATTCTACCATTTCCCTCGAGCTCAATTGTATGTATCAAGTTTGGAACATATAAATTTAATTTGATGTCCTCTTTAAGGATTTAGTCAAAATATATGTAACCTGATTATTGGAGTTGACAAATTAAATGCAAATTACTTTAACAATAACTTCTCTTAAACAAAATGACAATCAATTTCTACATATTTGGTTCTGTCATAAAATGTAGGACCGGAAGCAATGTGAATACCTGGTTATTACACTCCATTCTCATTTGCTGAATTTTACAAAAATTTAAGCTCTTGGAGGACTTGTTTTATACACACAAGTGAGTGATGTCATCACCTTACACTGCTCGAGCACTAGATTGAATAATAACATTTTGTTTCTTACTTTCACAAGAGATAATTATTTGAGAAAATTTATAGACTATGAGTGTGTTAATAAGCAACCCATCATTAAAAGAAATTAAGATGATTATTTCTATGTTGTGCTGGTCATACATATTTTGATAATTTGACAATAAATGGTTAAATGAGATGTAACAAAGTTTTACATTGATAATGGATCACAAGTGTGTAATAAGGTGATAAATATTTTTATCATATTCCAACTTAGTGTACACTCTAGAAGGTGATAAACATATTATCTTTTTTAGCTTGTGATTTGATTTTCACTATGTGAAACAATAAAACTTTGTTTGTTTTGAAATATATGTTGCATTTGTTTCTTTAACTAATGTAAGTCAACTTTACCTTTGATTCGAAGTTCTCCTGGTCTACCATATACTTGGTCCTTGCAAGCTTAATATTTTGACAGAAGCATTTTAAAGCTATTTCTGTGTGAACATTGCGTGTATTTTACATCAATATTTCATAATTCTCTTTACTATTTGAATAAACTACGTATCAATGTCCTTTGCCTAAAAGGAATCACTTATGATATCTCTGTTTAAATTTCCTCAGGTTCAGGTGGATGAATCATATGCACCTTCTCTTCAAGATGAAGTAGTGGAAGTTGAGCATATGCTTGCAGAGCCTAGAAATGATCTTGCTTCTCAGGATGGTATATTACATTTTAATCATTAGATTATGGGGAAATGGCTATGATGCTGAAAATCTTGTCTGTGGATTTTAATTTGGTTTTAGATCAAGTAGTGGTCATTCTCAAATGAATTAAAGCCGTTCTTTAAGATTCTATTGCTTGAAATCAACATATCAGCAAAACTTTTTATATTTGAGATATTATCATTGATTGAATATATATATATATATATATATATATATATATATATATATATATATATATATATATATATATATTTGTCTTTTTTTCCTACAAGGGTTTCTCTTAGTCCACTAGGCCCATTTAGATAAATTTAATGATTGATAAAACGGTATTGAGAGTGTCCTATTTTCAGAGCACAACAATAATTTTTTCTCTCTGACTTTTTATTGTGATGTTATATTCATCAGGTAGTTTGAATTCTCATACAACTTTGAATGGCAAGGATGATTTGGAACTGGAGGTGTTTGTCTTCACTCTCCCATTTGTTGTTCAGATGATATTGAAGCTATCAATTAATAGAGTTTTTATATTTATGCTGCTTTTTATTGATTATTTGACTGCTTGAGTCTATCATCTCAGGTTTATATCACCTTGTTTAACGTCAATTCAAATTGCATATTGCAAGTCACCTAACTGCTAAATTGTTTATGTTCTTGTTTTGTTGTATGAAAATTATCTTTAATTTTGTTAGGTCCTTGATGGATTGCTAGATGATGTTGAAATCGATGATCTTGAAGGAGTTGATGTTTTCCCCAGTGCATGTGAAGAATATTTTTTGGGTAAATTATTATCTTTTCTTAGAGATGTAATATAAAACAATTCTTTAGTCTTCCCCTTACGAATTATGCTTTTGAGATAATTGGTTCATGACATTATATGATGAATTTAATGACTATGCACTGATTTTACACTGTCATTCCATTACAAATTATTGTTGGTATGACGTATAAGATACTTAAAAGTCAATAAATTTATCATACAAAGTAATTTTTTATTGGATGACAATGTAACAGTATTTTATACAGTGTGCAGTGTTTTTTTTTTTTTTTTCTCATATGATAGTGATAGGATGAATTTGAAACCTAGAAGAAAGAAGATCAATGATAAAATGGGCTGGAGATCCAAAAGATAGAAGATTAAGTGGTTGAAGGATTTTATAGGATATAGTTAATCTTCTTTATTTTGGGTCTCCAGCCCATTCTATCGCTGATCTTCTTTCTTCTGTGCCTCCAACTCATCCTACTAAATGGTCTAGGTTTGAAATGATCCTTTGCTGCTTTTCTTCTAATAAAAAGGTTGATTGGTAACACTGGGTATGCTTGTGTATGATACGCTTCCAGCCCAAAGGTTCCTTGATTCAATCTGTTAGAGATGAAACATAAAACTATTCATTTGTTTTTGGCTTGCCGAACTTGAACTGTTGATTATAATTCACAACTATTAAGTTGTACCCTTCTGCTATGGTGTTTTGACAGAAAGGAAGAAAAAAATTAGTTTCTGCTTCCATTTTTTAACACTCTTTTTTTGTTTTACTTATTTGCTACAGATTTTGAATTTGCTGACAAATTTGAGGAGGTACTAGGTTCTGGTCCTTTTGAAGGTTCACTCTTGCAAAACTCAAGTTCAGAAAGTCATTCTTCAGGACTAAGCGGAAGTAGCATTGTTGGTGGGGTATTAGAATCAACAAAAGTACCTATAGCACACTCTGAATGCAAAAATGATTCTCTAGATGAGACGGTAACGTATGAGTCACATGGTGCCTTCAGCAACAATCTAAGTCAACCATCAAAAGTAAATTGCAGGTACGACATTTCACTTGATACACAACATCTGCAAGAGTTGGATACCAAGCGTCATTTAGCTGGTGGTATACTGACTTGTAAAAAGGAAAAGGGTCCTGTTGGAAAAGGCCAACCTGCTGCACTTAGAGAGAAAAGATTCCGCAAGCCTACTCAGAGGTATATTGAAGAATTTTCAAATGCGAGGACAAAGGAAAAGGTACCACCTGCTGGTACAAAAACTAAACATTTAAGTGACTCATCATGTAATGTACTTCATATAAGAATTAAATCATTGAAAAAGAGTCCTAGCGAGAAGTCTAGCTATGAAAATAGTGAGGTGATGATTCCTGAGTTGCAAGTTCGCAAAGGGCGACTGAAGAAAGAGGTACTGTTTTCAAGGAGCATTTTATCCCTTTCTGTATATTTTATTAAGCAGATGAGGATCCTTATTTCATAACCTGCCCTTTGGGTTGAGAGAGACAGATTCTTTCTCTAGTCATAATTGTATCAGTGAGTGTATTACTTTATTATCTATTTTGATGTACATTTACCATCTTCTGGTTTTGGATATTTATTCTTGATCTTGAATATCAATATTTGATGATTCTATGACCACTTTATAATTTTAATTTCTCAAATTGTACCATTTATATATATTGTTCTCTGACTCTCAATGAATTGAAGTGTAATGTTTAATTCAACATGTGTGCTAATTAATTTGCTTCATCATATTTCCCTCTTGTCATGGTTCTAAGTGATTGGTGCTTGATTCTTCTACACTGATAATTTTATAACCAACAATATGGTCGTGATGGTTGTAAATTTATAATCTTTTATTACCAGAGTATCGTATTTATGTATAATTCATTTATGCTGTTGTTAAGGTCCGTAACTGTATCTATACCTGGGTTTTGTAACAGAATTGTTCCTGTGGTTGAGATTTACTATATATGTCATCTGAAATTAAGATACCCTTGTCATAGTGGGAAAATTGTAAATTTTGAACAATAACTGCTGATTGATATACCTGCCTAATATTCATGGCTGTGGTCTGCAGATCTAAATTATTCAAGTTCATTTAACAAGACGTATTTCTTTTCTAGAAACTTGAGTATGTCAATGAATCATCTCCCTCGGAATCAGAAGATGGATGTTCGACAACAAAAAGTTCTAGAAGAAAAGATAGAAGAAAGCATCAGAAGATGTGGACTCTCCCTGAAGTGTTGAAGTTGGTTGAAGGCATATCTGAATATGGAGTTGGTCATTGGACTGATATTAAGAGGTTTTTGTTTTCTTCTTCAAGCTACCGAACTCCCATAGATCTCAGGGTACTTCACAGAGCTTTACTCGTTGAATTTCACATTCTTTCAAAATGTTTTCTAAAAGTGAATTCCGCAGGACAAGTGGCGAAACCTTTTGAGAGCCAGTTCTGCACAGAAAAACAAGAAAGGAGGGGTTAGGTTTCTTTTTACCTTTTTGGAACTTTTTGGAACTTTGTTGACGTTTCATGTGCATGTCTCAGAAACTTAAATTGGTGTACCAAAGTAGTTTTTTTTTTTAAATGCTATCTCTGACAAGATTTAGTTTGGGGAATGGGGACTAGTTAATAATGTAAATGATCGTGTGGTGATTACAGGGTGAGCAAAATGACGAGTTTGCCCTGCGTCCCTTACCATTTAATGTGGTAGATCGTGTGCGAGAATTGGCTAAAATTCACCCATACCCAAGGCAACGTGGGTCAAAGAAGTTGCGCGTTAGCCAAGCTGGATCTTCTGTCGTTTCAGATTCTCCTCCCGTTAGTCCAAGCCAAAGAAATGTACGTAGAAAGTTTACTTAGAAGAAGTCCATATGTAAAACAGTCCAGGGAAATCTACAGTCAAAAGAATCTTGTTGAAATTAGGTATCACATTTGCACAATTTTATACTGCAAGTAAGTTCTGCTTGTGTATCTACAAAGGCATAGAAATTTTGAATTGTAAACACGAGTAAATCATTAGTTATCCTACAATAGATTGGGATGCATAAATGCCTAACCGCTTCAATTGTATGACTCTCTAAGTGGCCTAAAACCTGGTCTCGATTGATGCCCAACTAATGATGTGTTTAGAGCCGTGTCTGACTCAATGTTCCAAATAAATGGTTGGGTGAAGGGAAGTGGTAAAGCACTACAAATGTAATTTTTTCACGATTCTTCAACCACTGTTTTTAAAAAGGAAATAGTATCTTTAAATTTGGGGAGACAATCTGGAAGCATCTTGATTGTGCTACACTAGAGCCTGTATGATAAACTAAGCTGTGGCCTTCCTCTTGTAGCATTTTAGTGGCTGTGCTTTCTACTGAGATATTATCTCATTACCTATTTTATAATATTTTCCACAATTTGCCATGTCATGTCTTTTCATTACGCTATCTATGTTATAATACACTTATCTATTCTCTCTTTCCTCTTCGGGTATCTTCTGGTATCTCGTGTTATAAGCGAGAGTAGTATAAGTTTCAAGAGTTTTGTTAAGAAACGCGATCGAAGTTTGACATTATGATGTTATTTCTTTTTGCAATAACATACAGAGGTTAACTAATCTAACATAGCAGTAATATGCTTTTATTATTCTAAAGAAAATGAGACTATATCTTTTCAAACTCATTAACATGCAAAGATCAAACTTTATCCCTAGTTAGATTTTGCATTAATTAAGACCAAAAGTTTTTCAATAAGAGGATCATGCGTTTAAGAGAGACCCAAGAGGCGAAAACTCAGAATGCGCTTGAATTTTGTAGCAAATAAACAAGACTGGCCAAGCATTTTGTGATCAGCTGTCAAATGATCTGAATCACGGCCTTGGCAATCACTACTCTACCGACGCTAAAGTACGATTCTGAAGTTGACGCGTAGAACAATTTCCAAAATAAGAAAGAGAGGAATTTGCTTCCCAGAAGGAAGCATGGAGAGATGATAAATTAAGGGGTGATGAAATGGGGCAGTTACGGAGAAGTGGGAAACACAATGATAATGTGACAGCTCAGGAGAACAGAGGAACGCACGTGAAAGGGAAGCAAGCAAAGCGTGTCTAATCAAATAATTTAGATGCACAAAATGGCTGCGAACCATCGAGTGTGCGAGTTCTTCGAGTCTTTAGGTGTCCTCAACCATTTTCTCTCTTTTAAGAGTAATGCTACATTATATCCTCACCCACCCGTGAGCACCGTGGCCCAAACCTCATGTGCACCACATCTTTTCCTTGCTCCCTCCCTCCCTGCCTCAACCTCCAGTGAGCCTTATCTAAGAAATCTTTTTGTGTATGTGCAATGGCATCATTCTTAGATATTACTTTAAGCAAAATACAAATCTACAATTATTTTGCTAATTGGCTGTTAGGTTTCTCTGATTGAGAGGCATATGCGGAGAGGGATATTGAAAAAGTTTCACAGTAGACAATTTTTCTTAATGCTAATTTGGTTTAAGATGAGATTTGATAAGATAATTCTTTATTGAAATCTGTTAGTATTAGAATTTATAACTCATTTTAGTTATTTCTTATTTTAGCAGATCACTTAAAATTTAATATTATAGTCATAATGCTTCTTGCTCATTATCTATTCTGATAGTTTGACAGACATCAACTTCACTATCAACAAACTATGACTTTAATAATTTCATTCATTCAATCAAATATTGTTTTAATATGAAATTGCGACGGAAAGATGTATGTGGTTTAGATTCTCCTTTTAGATATTATATTTAACAGTAAATCAGCTGATATAGGCAGATTTATGGAATTGCATGATCTGCTTTGACACTTGAGTATAACCAGTGTGATTCCTCATGTGCAACTTACATCCTCCATTGATTAATATTTTTATCCCAGGTTGATTGACATCAATTAAGACACATAATTTGAAGTATCTCAGAGTTATTCTCATTTTGCTGTTAAAAATCAATGTAAGAGAATGATATTTATAAATTATTTTTCAACTAAATTTATAAGCGATGTGACTTTTAACGTACAGGAACAGATATGATTTTGCGACTTTGGAAATTGTTATGAAAAAGAGCGTCTGTTTGTGTTCATTGCTGAATAAGTGTCCATTCATTTTGACCATATATAGCAGGTACGTGGTATGTGTACGTGATTCATCATTTTTATATTATTACAAAATTTTCTTCAAAAGTATCTGGCATTTGGTACGTTGAATTAATATTCGATACAGGATTACTGACGAAGTGTTTGTTTGGATATATGTTAATTGAGAAGCGACGTCGGTTATTACTGTTAGCTTATTTCTGAATGTGAGAAAACATGTCCCATATGTGTAAGCATACACGCTAAAAATTCTGTAACTATGATTTTGACTGTCATCTACCTGTTACATGATTAGAGGTTAGTCTGTATCAGAGTTTGGACCTATGACAGTTAGAGCAAATGATGCAGAACCAATTTTATTGCATTTTAGTAAGAAATGAAATGAATGGAATTTCGACTAGATACTGAGTAGTTTCATAAGATCTAAGATCCTTGAAGGGCTTTTTTCAAAAGGGTATTACAAGGTGAATGGAAAATTAGGAATCTATCATAAACGAACAAAATTTTATGCATTTCAAAAAAATCACTTATAAAATCCTTGAAGGGCTTGTTTTTCACGGGTCTCTAACCCGTAAATGAAGAAAGGTGAATTTTTTTTATAAAACATTATGGGATATGGTATTAAAGAATATGAAAAATTTGTATTCTTATGCATTTCAATAAGAAAATTACTTACAATTTCTTAACAGGTATCTGCATTCGGTATTTTAAATCATTAAGCATTTGTCTCATCTTGAAAACTGTTGGCAGTTTACTGCAAATAATCATGTGTAAAACTGAACGTGCTATTCTTTTCAACCAACCAAGCACAACCGACATTTGTCTTAAAGGGGATGAATCAATGTGCTGGCTTTCAATCATCTCTCTGAGCATCTTTGTAAGATAACAGACCCAGGAAAAAAGGGCAACCTCAAACACTGTCTTCTACTCCTCTTTCACTAAATTGATGAACTATTCAACACACAATTAACTCTCTTTTAATGTCCCAATTGCACAATAAAAACTTGGACCTCAAAAAATACTACCTTTCAACTCCAACCTTTTCTTAGCTAAGGTAGTTCCTTATAGCTCCAAATTATTTGTTTGTGTTTGGTTTTCCTTCACTAGAATATTGTGTTAGTCTGCTAATTAATTCTCAGGCAATACATTGATAATATCCAATTAAATTTCATATCTTGGTTCAGTTTTCTATAGATCCGTTATAAGGAAACATAGGAAGGGAATCAAATCAAAGTTGTCACATCTACATATGGTCAAAGTTCTGAGTTTAAAAACTGTGACTTCCATTCTCTTCTCTGCAACCAAAGATATTTCCTTCCATCCCTTTTGTAATATGTAGCCCATTTCCTGCACTTCTGCGAGCTATGGAGGGAGCAGTGGAACTTATCCCAAATCCATATGCAGAATGTAGCAACTTGCTAGGGAATTTGATATGTGATTTTGTACGGATAGTACCTCTTTAGTCCTTAGAAAAACAATGCTTTAGCCAGCATGCACTAATTTAAGATAACACAACATATAGTGAGCTAAGACCAATCCAAATGGGAATAATAAATTCACATCCCAACAAGAAAAAGCCACTGAAATATTGAAATGGACATCAGCATTACTACATTATATACAAAAAGTGGCTGATTAATTACAAATTAGCTCATTCCCCACAATCTGAAAAATTAATATTAAAATTGTTGAAAACCATGTAGCTCCACTTCCTGAGCAGATCTCAAATCCATTAACAGCAGTATGTGGCACTGAACCAGTTGGGATTCGGACTTTCAACACTCCACAGTACAAAAACACTTGACAGTACTAAAAATTTCAAACATTACAACTCAAAAAAGGTGAAGCCCTTCTCTGAATCTTAAAAAAGTGCCTGTATCTTTTATCCATACCTGTCTATAAGAAATACGTGGGCTCGCACTTTGTCCAAGAAACTTATCTCACCCCATTTTCATATCTTATCTTTGTGGGGTCTTATACAACTGAGAACATCGAAAGAAACAACAGTGATTAAGAACCACCCTTGGGGAATTGCAGAGAAGGACAGAGCCTTTACTTCCTCGGATTGACGTTAATTAATCAGCTATATATGATGATATTTTATACATACATATATATCTTAAAATCATTGCCAATTTCCATGCATGTTCGTACAGTTTCGTATCAGAGATATATAAAATGCTAACCAACAAAGTCAGCTTCTACATATCAAAAACTGGCACACTTGAATAATAATAATATAAATGTTGATCCCCATAATTATATTAGTAGCGAATAGCATAGGCTACCAATCATGTCAACCATTTAATGCTCCAGACCATTGGTTCTTCCCATGCCACAATTATATATACCCTATCACTTACGATCTCAAGTACTCACTGCACTTTTAATCCTCTCTCTCTCACACATACACTCTCTTTCTCTCTTGAAAGAAACAATGAAGTCAAGATTTCTTAGAGGGTGTCTTAACAAGTGCAAGAAAATGTGCCTCAACAAGTGCATATCTTGTGAGGACTGTTGTGAATGGGCTTGGTGGTCTTCTTTGCATGAAGGTTGTTCCAGTATTCCAAGTGATGTTCCAAAGGGTCACTTGGTTGTGTACGTGGGAGAGAACCACAAGAGATACGTGATCAAGATTGCATTGCTCCACCATCCACTCTTCAGGGCCTTGTTGGATCAAGCTCAGGAAGAGTATGATTTCATTGCAGATTCAAAACTCTGTATTCCCTGCGATGAACGCCTCTTCCTCAATGTCCTTCGATGTGCTAGCTCCCCACAGAACCAACGAGTGTGTCTTGGTCTTTGAGAAAGAGAAATCACTTCTGAAACATTCTTTAGTTTCTATGCTGTTCAAATTCTTAGTTCTAACTATGCTGATATATGTAGCCATCAATACATATATTAATGTGTTGTAAGTAGGTTGAGGCATAATTAAGTGTCATCATTTAGATAACTGATGTCATTCATCATCAATTCAAGATGAGAGAGGATTCTAGCCCTTTGCATAAAATTTTCAACCAGTCTTGTAGAAAAAAAATAAAAAGATATAACGAATTAAGTTTCGTATACTTTTTAATTTTCTTTTCAGTATCTATTTGAGAAGTTTATTCAGATACGTTTCTAATGATTTATAGAGTAAGTTGGTGAATTGAGGAAAGGAAAACCAGCTTTCTATCACATTACTAAAAAAATGGTGAAGACTTGGGAAACAAATTAATGAAAGGGTATGGCATATTTATGAGTTGATAAAATCATAGATATAATATTACTATTGTACAAAGATGAGCACAGTTCTTATCTTATCAAATTGGTTTTTTAAAATGAAGATAAGTATCACTTAATTTTTAATATGTGTAATAGTTAATTTTAAAAATATTGGAATATGAAAAATTTCTTTCAAGGCGAGAGCTACAATAAAAAAAATCCCCTTAACAAATGAGGTAAGATGAAAAATATTCTCAAATAAAAATTTTATATCAAATAAAGATATAATAACGTTATAATATATAAATGAATATAATTATTATTTTTCCTTAGTAATAGAGTATTATAAGGTTGGATTGTTACTACTCATTTAATAAGGAGAGAAGTCAAAAAAGACTTGTAATATTGGAAGCCTTATATTAACAATCCATTTTTCTCATACGATCACTATAAGAAAAATTAAATTTTTCGAAAGACAAAATTCGTGAGGTAAATACATATTACTAACGGATTATCGACAAGCAGTAAATTTGTCAAAAATTGTGTTGTTGATAAATATTATCGACAGATTTGTAAAGTATGTCAGTAAGTAAGTAATGTACTCACACATTTTTATTTATTTATAACCCCTCTCTATTTATCTAGTTTATCTATAGGTCCCCTCCCATTTATATTATATTTTTGTTATTTATTACATTTTTTAGAAATTTGAATTATTATCAGATTGATTCTCCAACTATTAAACTATTAGAATTTTCTCGATAATAATTTACAAATAAATGTATATTCGTGTAAATATATTTATATATTTTGATATATTTATATATATTTATATATTTTGATATATTTATATATATTTATATATTTTGATATATTTATATATATTTATATATTTTGATATATTTATATATTTTGATATTTATATAGTTATATATTTATATGTTAGATGTGAGGGTGCACTCGAGGATGAAAGTGTGTCTCGAGTGAGTTTTAAAATTATTTAATTTAACAAATTATTATAAATTAATCTAATTATGATTAAATTAAATTATTAAATAAAAAATTATTTAATTTTTTAATTAGATGATTAGAATATATTTAAAATTAACTAATTATTATATAATTTTAAATATTTAATTTTTTAATTTAACGGTGATTTTTAAAAATATACTTTAAATTTGTCGGTAATATCTGTTGGTAATCGATTGTTAATTTACCGATGAATATATTCGCTCAGTAACTAATTGTTTATTTTATCGACGGATATATCCAGTCGATAAATCTGTCGATAATTAATTGTTCATTTACCGATAGATATATCCGTCGGTAAGACCAAATTTCACAACTACTTTAAATCAGTTTGGTAATTACTCTTTTCTGACGCGGTACATATCTGTTCGGTAAATATCCATTGGTAATTAATAATTTTCTTGTAGTGGTTCATCCGAAGATATCTTTTAGATTTTTATATTATTATTTATTTATCTTACTTCATTCTCTTTCCATCAATCAACCAAATTTTGTTATCGTTGAGAATTTAATTTTTTCAAACATCCAATGCACAAGTTTAAAATATTATTTTTTGGTTGATTGATAAAAAAAGACCAAATTTCACAACTACTTTAAATCTATCGGTAATTACTCTTTTTCTGACGGCTACATATCCGTCGGTAAATATCCATTGGTAATTAATAATTTTCTTGTAGTGGTTCATCCGAAGATATCTTTTAGATTTTTATATTATTATTTATTTATCTTACTTCATTCTCTTTCCATCAATCAACCAAATTTTGTTATCCATCAATCAACCAAAATTTGTTATCGTTGAAAATTCAATTTTTTCAAACATCCAATGCACAAGTTTAAAATATTATTTTTTGGTTGATTGATAAAAAAGAATGAACTAAGATAGATAAATAATAATATAGAAATTTAAAGATGCTTGTTGGATAGATGTTTGGAAAAAATAGGTTGTTAATATATCATAACTCTATAATCTAAGTATATCATATCACTTGCCTAGTTTTTTTTTTTCTAAATTCACATATAATACCTGAGTATGTACTTAAACATTCCAACTATCTTAAAACCTCCGTGTCACTAGTATAAAAAGGTTTTTTTTTATGTCACTCATTTCTTGTCGTACACAAAAATATTCAACTTAAAAAAAATATGATAACATTTTTGTAAATAATGGATACTTATGTTGGTCTCTATGAGGTACGGCGTAAAAGTTGTGTTTTATTTTCACTTAGGGCTTCTTCTTCCTCGCACGTATAAGGACTTTTGAGGACGACGACGACAATGACTACTCCAGCACTTTCCAGGGTATATTTCGACCACGATGGGCGATAAAAACACCTACATCGTGTTCCATTTGTGGTGGTTGATATTTCTCTCTGATTGGATTCGAATTTTAAAGCATTTTTTGTATATTTGATGTTAGTATTATATGTCTCTTATTTTATGTTCGAATTGAATCCGTGATTATTTCTAGGGATCTCAATCATGTTATTGCATGAATGTCTCCACTAGATTGTTATTGAAATTGAATTGTTGTAGTTTATGATTACCCATTTATTTGTTTGAGGGCATTTACAATTTATACACTGCATTTTTATGTTTTCATGATTTAGTTGTTTGAATCCCACATTTTTTGTTGTTTGTATATTGTTTTTTTAAATATGAATTTGTGTTTTGAATCTTTAGGAGCGACAAAAATTTATAACTTAGGTAGGTATGGATTGGAGTTGGATGAATACAATGTAAAACAATTATGTAGTTTTCCTACGTTCTTAATTTATTATGGAAAACTACTCTACAGGATCTTTAGATTATTGATTTTCACAACATAACATACATGAATCATAATAAGAAAACTAACTTTGATCCATGAGAATATATTCTTTAATCTTCTCGTTCTCCAATCTCCTTTTCCCAATATATCTCTTTGTCTTTCTTTCTCTTTTCACGCTTTCTTGATGGTTTACCGTGAAAAAAAAACTTTATGACCAGAGACAGAACCCTTATTCCATTTTATTAACCAATGTCTATCAAGTTGGTTACCGTAAATTAATATTTTATTTTATCTTCATTTTATTCTAACTTCACATAATAACCAATAGGTCTTCATATTTTATTAAATCACATTTGGGCCCATTATTATATTTCACATGAGTCACATAATGGAATGAATTAATTAAATTAATTCTAACATTCTCCCACTTGACTCATGTGATGTCATACGGTTCTGTGATTTAATACTTAAGTCATAATGCGCATTAAAGGACCTTACATAAATTGGTTCTATCATTATTCATAATTAAAGATACAGCTATAACAAGAGTCATGGTGGTTACATGTCATTCAATCGACAGGCTCCCTTCCATGTACCACTATATTATCTCTTTCTCTTTAATATGACTTTATAATGAGAAGTCCATAATGGGTTCAAACATAATATCATTTTAATAATAATAACATAATTTGTTTTCTTCATCATAATTTGCATGCATATAAATAAAGAAGAAAACATAAATTTCAGAAACTTATACATTAAAGATCTCAGAGTGTCACATAAACATTAACATTCAACATTCACTACTGAACTTCTTCTTTAACGGCAAAATATTTCAATTCCATATGTTTAGCACCTTTGGAATACTTGTCGTTCTTAGAAAAGAAGACTGTTGTGGAATTGTCACAATAAATTTTCAGCGACTTGACAATGTTGTCGACTACTCCAAGTCCTAAAATAAAATTTCGCAACCAATTAACTTGAATTGTGGCCTCAAAGCATGCCACAAATTCAACTTCCATGGTGGATGCAACAATGACAGTCTGCTTCGCACTTTTCCATGAAATCGCTCCTTTGGCTAAAAGATACACATAAATAAATGTAGATTTTCGTGTATCCATACAACCAGCAAAATCTGAATTTGTATATCCAATCACCTCAAGGTGATCAACTTTCCTATAAGTAAACATGTGATTCTTTGTTCCTTGTAAGTATCTTAAGACTTTCTTTGCAGCCTTCCAATGATCCAATCCAGGATTACTCTGGTATCTACCCAGCATATCAACTGCAAAGCTAATATCTAGCCTCGTTCATGTTTGAGCATACATCAAACTACCAACAACAAATGCATAAGGGATATTTTCCATTTGTTTTCGTTCCAAGTCATTCTTTGGACATTGCATGAGACTAAATTTGTCTCCTTTCTGTATTGGAACGGGAGATGCTGAACACTTCTTCATTCTGAATCTCTCTAAAATTTTATTAATATATGTTTTTTGAGACAAACATAACAGTCCTTGTGATCTATCACAAAATATTTCTATTCCTATCACATAGTATGCCTCACTCATATCTTTCATTTCAAAGTTGTTAGAGAGAAACTTCTTAGTCTCACTTAATAGTCCAAGATCATTAGTCGCAAGCAAGATATCATCAACATACAGAATCAGAAATATAAACTTGCTCCCACTGACCTTCAGATATATACACCGATCAATAGTGTTTTCCTTAAATTCAAAGGACATAATAATATCATTGAACTTAAGATACCATTGTCGAGAAGCTTGTTTAAGTCCATATATTGA